AAACAGTCGGACCACTTTGGCCCAAATTCGTCTTAGAGGAACAATTATTGGGTTTCTTTTTGCTTCCCTAGCTGGTTTGGGAGTAAGACAGAGTTGATAATGATCTTCAACAGAATGCTCAACCAACAAGAGATAATGGCTTTTCCCCCCTCTTGTGTCTATTTAGCAGGCCAGTGACGCCGCTAAGACTCCCCGCCTGGTCACCCAGCTCCATTTCACCAGCTGGCCTGACTTTGGAGTTCCTTTCTCCCCAATTGGAATGCTCAAATTTCTCAAAAAGGTCAAGTCAGTAAATCCAGACTTCGCTGGGCCCATTGTGGTCCACTGCAGGTATGCAAGAGCTGAGCTAATGTAGCCTAATGTTCAGTATTTTACTGTTTACTCCTAATGGTTTTAATTATCCAATTTGTTTCTATGGAGATCAGTGTATTATGCTTAAACATCCCCTTTGTATGTGTGTGGGCTATCTCTCTGCTAAAGATGGAAACATTTGGAGTGACTATTGCAATACAAGTGTTTACAAGCACAGATGTTGCTTTGTTCCCTCCTGATGTCTGTTAACGTGCTAGTGTCAGCTGAGGATTATGGTTCACTCAGCTCAGTGTGTCATTTGTTTTCCATCTCCAGTGCTGGTGTTGGGAGGACGGGAACCTTCATTGTAATAGATGCCATGATTGAAATGATGCACGCAGAGCAGAAAATTGACGTATTTGGGTTTGTCTCCAAGATACGAGAGCAGCGCTCGCAACTCATCCAGACAGATGTGAGTTGGAGAAGGATTATGTTAGCCACATGACGTAACGCTAACACCTGGCATGTGTGTGGGACATGTGAATTATCCTTTACAGTAAATCATCTGCAACTAGGCCCATGCATAGTGTGTGTTATTCATCTGTGTGTATTTTCACTCCAGATGCAGTACTCATTCATCTATCAGGCCTTGCTTGAATACTACCTCTATGGAGACACAGAACTGGATGTTTCTTCTCTGGAAGGTCATCTGCAGAAACTGCACAACACCTTTAATGATGGTGATCGCATTGGCCTGGAGGAAGAGTTTAAGGTAGCACCTCTTTTTACATTCAGACCCATAAAGGATCCCATCTAACAAACGCTCACACAATATTACAGACTAAACTTAGAAATCTCTGAAGAAAACCTAACAAAAATGCAGTTGTTTCTTTATTAGTCATTTTAACTTATTAAGCTTTTTATTTGTCAGTTATTGAAACACTTTTCATAAATGTTATGAAGCATGTAAAGGTTCTGGAAACTATGAACCTGCCCACGCAGGCACTAAAAATATACACTAATAATCAATGCAAAAGAAATTCTAGATTTTTCAATCCCCTTCAGTCATATCACTTCTAAGAACATATAGTGCAGTCAAAAGGTACTTAGCTTCTTCCCCAGTTCTTTTTTTTTTTTTTGCATATTTGTCACATGTTTCATATCAAACAGATCAAACAAATTTTGGTGATCTGAAACCACTCTTCTTCAAAATCAGCAAAGAAGACCAACTCATTGCAAATGATCACGAATGGTCAAAGTCCGTTATTAGGTTTAGACAAGACACGTACACATAGATAGCTGGTTTACTCTTAATAAATGAAATCATGATGTAAAACTGCCTTTTTATTTCCTTTGGTTATCTTTGTCTAAACGTATCTGAAATATGTGAAAGAAAAAAAAACAAAAATCAGCACACCACTGCACATATAAACCTGACTTGCATACATTCCTCTATTGCTGCATGAGAATTCAATTGTGCTACAAAATGGTCATTATGATTTATCATCAATGCTGCAGCTTAGTTTATTTCCCCTGTTTTGATTCATAAACCATATTTTATAAAGTTGTAACATTTAGATTTTCCTTGTTTAGAAACTGACTAACATGCGCATAATGAAAGAGAACATGAGAACAGGAAACCTCCCAGCCAACATGAAGAAGAACAGAGTTCTGCAAATTATTCCCTGTAAGTAAGATGAAATCCATATAAATAACCAACTTATGTCAAATTTTGAGCTGCAGATTACATTGCCTGCAGCTGCCTTTAGAATGTTTTTCTAATTCTGTCCCTTGCAATACTTACAATAGCATACTACCGTACTAATGTAAACATGTTTTTGAGTTTAATCTGCGTGTTCATGATGTACTGTTTCCATTTCAGATGACTTCAACAGAGTAATTCTTTCCATGAGAAGAGGTCAAGAGTACACAGACTATGTCAATGCGTCTTTTATAGATGTGAGCATATTGTATTTCCTAATTTGTTCTTTCTGAGGTTTTAAGGTATTTGTGTTAACACAAATAGTTGTACCGATGAAGCTTTATATTATACTGATAAAGTCCTTTATATTTTGATTTGACTCAGGGCTACAGACACAAGGACTACTACATTGCCACACAGGGCCCTCTGCAGCACACAGTGGAGGATTTTTGGAGAATGGTGTGGGAGTGGAAATGTCACTCCATAGTCATGCTCACTGAGCTCCAGGAGAGGGAGCAGGTAAGCTGCAGTAACTAATCGCTGCAAGCCAGCTACGATTGATGGCTTTAATAAACACAACAAATACACACAACATAAAACGTCCCAGTTCTGATTTCCTGCCTTTGTCACGAAACTGTACATTTATTTAAGTTCATATTTATGAAGTATTTAACTTGTTAAACTGCAGTTTCTTTTATTCATCGCTGTGAGTAAACAAATGTTCATCTGTTTTGCAGGACAAATGTTGCCAGTACTGGCCGACAGAGGACTCAGTCTCCTATGGAGACTACACAGTAGAGCTAAAGGGAGACACCCTGTGTGAAACCTTTAGCCTACGAGACTTGGTACTCACCTTTGTTCCGGTAAGCAAATTAAACCTGTCCTATCAATACAGGCAAATGTAACACGCCTGCTCTGCATCTTTATCAGTTATCGTGAAATAAAGGCTTTTATTGATCCTTCATGCAATTCCTTTATATAAAATAATTGGTTTTTAGAATATGAAAATTGAACAAGTGTCACAACACAACATAAAATAACTCCATTACAACTTCTGAATTCTTACCCAATTAAACAATAATAATGGATTGGATTTATACAACGCTTTTCAAGGCACCTTACAATGCCACTATTCATTCACTCTCACATTCACACACTGGTGGAGGCAAGCTACGGTTGTAGCCACAGCTGCCCTGGGATAGACTGACAGAGGCAAGGCTGCCATATCGCGCCATCGGCCAACACCAGTAGGGTAAAGTGTCTTGCCCAAGGACACAACGACCAGGACAAAGAGCCCGGGGAT